ACTTCCCAAAAAACAGTTCGAGGAGTATCACAGGAGGCGGATGATGCTAATTTTGACAGTGCATCCGCCTGGTTGTTTTCTGATCTCGGCACTTGGGTCAGATTGAAATCCTCAAGGGAGCCGACTGCTTGTCGGACCGCCTGTAAATACTTGATCATGGTCGGATGGGTTGCTTCGTATTCGCCATTGTACTGACTCACTATCAATTGTGAATCGGACAGGCGTCTATTTTTCTTGCCCCTGCCGCCTTGCACATGCGGATTCGGCTAGTAAAGCTTCATATTCTGCCTCATTGTTTGAGGCCTGAAAACTGAAGCGTAGAGCATACTCGTACTTGTCGCCCTCTGGCGACTGACATATGACGCCTGCTCCACAACCATTTGAAGTAGAGCTTCCGTCCACATATACCTTCCAGACATGGTCTGTAACATGAGAGTCCGGAGGACGAGTCATCTCAACAATAAAGTCAGCAAAGGCTTGCCCCTTCACTGCTTTTCTAGGCTCGAAAGTAACTTCGAGGCTCTGAATTTCTATGGCCCATTTGATCATTCGGCCTGACGACTCCATGATGGTCAGTGGCCGCTTGATAGGTTGGTCTGTATACACGACGACTGCATGTGCCAAAAAGTAGGGCTTCAATTTTTTAACAGCCATGAAGAGTACAAGACCAAATTTCTCTACTAAGGGATACCTCAACTCGGCATTTTTCAGTACGTGACTGACAAAGTAGACCGGGAGCTGACAGCCGTCTCTTTCAGCAAGGAGAACAGCGCTTAACGCATGATCAGAGACGGCCAGGTACATGTAGAGTACTTCTTTGGGCAAAGGGCTGACCAGCCTCGGCAAGGAATGCAAGTGAACTTTCAATTTCTGGAAGGCGGCCTCAGCATCCGGCCCCCATTCAAACCTTGCCTTTTTCTTAATTGCCTAGAAAAAGTATAGGCATTGGTCGCCTGATCGGCTTAGAAATCTTCCCAAGGCCGCCAGACAACCTGTTAACTTCTGAACCTCTCGGATGGTACGAGGCGACTGCATGTCAATGACCGCCTGCACCTTCTCAGGGTTCGCCTCTATTCCTCTCTGATTGATAAGGAATCCGAGAAATTTCCCAGACTCAACTCCAAAGACACATTTCTTGGGATTGAGCATGACATGGTGCCGCCTGAGTGTGGCGAAAGTTTCTCGGAGGTCCGACAGATGATCTTTCTGAAGTTTAGACTTGACAATCATATCATCAATATATGCCTCGACATTTCTCCCAATTTGATCAAAGAACACAGTGTTTATCATTCGCTGGAAAGTGGCCGGGGCGTTCTTAAGACCAAACGGCATGACCGTGTAACAGTATAACCCCTGATCAGTGACGAAGGCCGTCTTCTCCTGATCTTTCTTCCATAAAGGAATTTGATGGAAACCAGAGTAGGCGTCCATAAAGCTCATCAAAGCATGGTCGGCTGTTGAGTCGACGAGGTTATCAATTTTAGGCAGAGGGTACTGTCTTTGGGGCACGCCTTGTTTAAGTCTGTGTAGTCTACACACATTCGCCAGGTGCCATTCGGCTTTTTAACAAGCACCACATTTGCAACCCAGTCTGGGAAGTAACATTGCCGAATGAACCCTGCATCAAGTAATTTTTTAACTTCGGCGGTTGCCGCCTGACTTCTTTCTTCGCCATGGTTCCGCTTCTTCTGCCTTACCGGCTTCTTTTTCGGATCCACAGCCAGTTTATGTACCGCCAGGTCAGGACTAATGCCTGGCATTTCGTGGACTTCGAATGCAAAGATGTCCTTGTATTCTTTCAATAGTTTGTGAAAGTCGTCACCCAGGACTCTCAGAGCAGTCGTCCCAACTTTGACTGTTCGCTCAGGACGTGAATCGTCTAAGATCAAGTCCGTATGCTCACCAGCCGGCTGAGGGCGGAATTCATCCGACCGCTGCTCTGCCAATGATTGCTATTTTCTGTCTTTTCTTGCGGCCCCTGTCTGGGATGCCTTTCTCTTCTTGCCACCTGCTTCTTGAACAGGCGCACTCTCCTTGACATTGTCAAGGTCTATTTTTCCACCACTCGACCCAGTGGCCATAACAGTGGGCTTGACATCCGAGAGATAGCACTCTCGGGCCATCCTCTGATCTCCCCTTAGGGACTCGACTGTTCCATTATCCCTCTCAAACTTGAGCAACATAAGAGATGGGATTATAACAGCCTTGGAATTATTCAGGGTTGGTCGTCCCAGAATCATGTTGTAGGCCGAGAGTTCTTTTACTACCAGGAACCGGACTACCATGTGTCGTCCTTCCCCTTTTTCGCCCAGGCGGATGGGTAAATCCACTCGTCCCACTGGGTAGACGACTCCTCCTCCAAACCCTACTAAAGGGTGGGATGCCGGATGTATGCAATCAGTCTGATATTTTAGTTTCGACAGACATTTGCTACTGATGAGATCTGAGGAGCTTCCGGTATCTATGAGGATTTGGCCAACTCTCGGGTTGGCCACTTTACATTCAATAACGATAGGGTCGTCATGCGGCCCTCTTACCCCTCCTAGATCTTCTTCAGTGATGACAATCTCAGGAAATGAATATTTGGAGGGTCGTTCTTGGTGACTGGAATTTACATCTAACCGCCTGATATTGTCTTTGTTGCCCCTAATAGTGGGGCCGCCTCCTGAGAAGCCGCCTGCAATGGTGTAGACGACTGCATCATCTGTATCGGAGCTGTCGGCCTGTTGATTCTTTTTGGCCGACTGCTTTTTCGAGGAAGTGTTCCCCGTAGATTTCTTGACATAAGTGTCAAGATCACCTTGCTCAGCCAGGCGGTCCAGATACCGCATGAGACTGATGCATTCATTGGTGTGATGACCAACATCTTCATGATAATCACAAAATTTTTCTTGGTTCCTACTGTTTGCAGAACCCTTCATGGGGACCGGCTTCTCAATTGAGATCCGTCCCTTGATTTCCTTTAGGATAAATTGGCTATCCTTGTTAAACACATACTTTGGGGAGTATGGTTTGAATTCTTTTTTCTTTTTCTGGGCCGGCTGTTTAGAGGAATCAGCCACCCAGACCTCTTTTCTCTTCTTGTCTTTGTTTGACGACTGTTTCTGTCGTCCTTCTCTTTTGTCGGACCTTTTCCCGTCCGACTGTTTTTATTGTACTACAAAGATCAGTCGCCTGTATATAGGCTTCCGCTTCAATCAAGGCCTCTTGAAGAGTCGCCACCCTCTTTCGGCCAAATCAAATTTGAAGGTCGACCCGTCTTTGAGACCTCTGAAAAAGTCAGTATAGGCTACTTCATCCGGTAACCCTTGAATCTGTATTCTCATCAGGTTAAACCGCCTGATGTAAGAACGAAGCCCCTCCTTCTCGCCTTGCTGAATTGTTCCTAAATCAAGGGTCGTCTTCTTTGCAGGGATGTTCATGGCGAAGTTGGAGGTGAATAAGTAAGCAAGCGTCTTGAAGTTATTTACACAACCAGGCGGCAGGTTGCCGAACCATTGTTGTGCGATTCCTTTGAGAGTCGCTGGGAAACACTTGCACCAAGTGGGATCATCCAACCCTTGAAGGTACATCAGGTTGGTGAATGCCATCAGATGGTCTTCTGGGTTAGTAGTGCCGTCATAGGCGCCTACTAATACGTTTTTCACTTTGGCCGGCTGAGCGGCTTCAGTAATTTCCTTGGAGAAGGCCGACGGCTGTTCACCAAGTCTAAGCAACCGTAGCTGCCAGTCCATAGGTTGGACATTTTTTGCTGCATGTCCACCAAACGGAGGTGGCTGTAAAAAATACTGTTGTTGCGGTACAAACGGTAAGTTTGGTACCGCCTGGTCGCTATGAAAGCCGGACTGACGGGAGGTGCCGCCTGACTGGCTCTTACGATACGACTGAGTATGCCTCATTGAGGTATTTCGCAGACTGTCTTGGAAGTTTGAAGTAGAGGCCGACTCTGAAAATCGGTCGCTCTTCTTCTGCTCTAGCAGTAGCCGAGCGTCTGTGTATGTTTTCCTCGACCCGTCCGCCTGAATATGACGAACAGGTTTCCTATTTCCTGGAGTAGGGAAACGGTATTTTGTGAAATCAAGGGCAGGTGGCTCCCACTTCCTAGATTTAGGATGAGGGGTCGCCTCTCGCCCTTGAACTGGTTTCCTCTTCAGTGAAGTGGAGGGTTTCTTAGCCGACTGCTCCTTGTCCAGAGCAGGCGGCTTCTTGTTGATCAACTCTTGAATTTCTCCCTTGAAGTCCCTCATGAAGGTCATGAGTTCGTTCCTTGTGATGGGAGCAGACCCATCAGTCGGCTGCTGCCGAACAGGCGGTGCGCCTGCTGGCTCACTTCTAGTTTGAAGATGTTCCCGTTCTCTCCTTTCGGTATGACGGGTACGTCGGGCCCTTAGGGTCCCGTCTGAAGCTGTGTGAGCTTCAACTTCAAATTCATTCTCAGTATCGTGGTCCGACTGAACTTGAGGGTCGTCTAGGGGACGCCTCTCTTCAGGAGTCGGTACAAACGTGGATGCCATCTCAGAAGTACTCTCCCCACAGAAGGCGCCAAATGTTTCGGGGTTTTCTGATGTCCTGCGGGAGAGTTACAATTCCGAGACTGGAACTGGACGCCTGTACCTGCAAAACAACGGAGACTCCTGGTGGTGGGAGCTCCGCCTCCAACGGTCAAGTTAGTACCTGATTAAGGAGTAATTAATGCGGAAATTAAAGTGATTGGGTCTCTCTAGGTGAGAGTGTTTAATGTGTGTAATCTGCGTTTTTAACGTGTTCAACATGTAATCTCCCTTAATGAGGATTAAGGGAGGTATTTATAACCTCGGGAAACGTGTCAATCTAGGTTTAGGTTAACCTTGGGTTGATTGGGCTTCCCTCGGAAGTTAGGCCTAGGTGACCGGTTATCCCAGGTGTCATGGGAAGGACACGTGTCGTGTCGTAATTGGTCCAAGGTGGACGGATCATTGCTTGACACGTGGCAGGCTCCTATTGGCCCATGTGACGGACACATGGCGGAACCTGATTGGTCCACTTGTCAGATGGTGATTGGTGGGAGCAAAATCCCCTAATCAGAGAGGTTAAGAGAATTGGAGAGGAGAAAGGAGAGGGAGAGGGGAACAGAAATGCAAAGGAGAAGGGAGAGGGAGGGGGGGATAGAATTGAAGACGGCAAGGGGAACGGTCCCGTTCAAGAGAATTCATTTAATGGAGAGAAGAGTAATGCAAAGGAGATGGAAGAGGAGAAAGGGAACGGTAATGTGCCTGTGAATGTAGGACATGGTTTTGATGGTGAGGATAGAATTGGAGACGGCAAGGGGAACGGTCCCATTCAAGAGAGTTCATTTAATGGAGAGAAGAGTAATGCAGAGGAGATGGAAGAGGAGAAAGGGAATTGTAATGTGCTTGTGAATGTAGGACATGGTTCTGATGGTGAGGATAGAATTAGAGACGGGAAGGGGAATGGTCCTGTTCAAGAGAATTCATTTAATGGAGAGAAGAGTAATGTAGAGGAGATGGAAGAGAAGAAAGGGAATGGTAATGTGCCTGTGAATGTAGGACATGGTTCTGATGGTGAGGGAAAAGAGATTTCCTATGATTCTTAAGATGAACCGGTTACCCCAGTAGAGCTGTGTACTTGCAAGTGGATTATGTTAACATCTGGAGGCCAAAGTACATTCGTAGGTTTCGAGAACCGTTGCTCTAGTTTTTCATGGATAATGCGTCGCGAAGACTCTGGAGTCTAGAGTGAGTCCCTAGTAAAACTGGAGTCAACTTACTAATACAGAATTGTTCACATTGACATGCAATATTCACTTATTTCATTCTGTTTTGTATAGGACTGATCACACTATGCTTAGTTTTGATGGCGATCGTGTGAAGCTGAATTTATGTAGGATGGTTGCAAGTTGTGTTGGACAGGTTTGTGATCAGGTAAGCCTTAAATTGAAATAATACTAGGAGTTTAATTATCGATTAGAATTATTGGGTTATTTCTTCCGTTCATAATTTTATGCAGTATGTTAGAGTTGCTTCTAAAATATATGAGAAGGTGTGGGAGAAGCAATTTGCTGGTAAGAGTAGGCGATTCATGCTAGATCTGTCATTTGGATTAAGTACAAGTTCCTTCTTCGTGGCAGCTTATTGGGAGCCAAGTATTATTATTAGCAGCCATGCTATTTGTAAGGTAGTTAGTCGAATTTAATTGTTGTGCTGGTGTGCAGATTATGGTCCTGAATGCTAACGGACACCTAGATAGAGTTGCTAAGATTTTGAAAGCTTACTGCAAAAAACATGAGGGAAATGCCCCCTAGTAGAGTCAATGTGGTATTACTCGTGTTTGACATATATGAATTTGCAATTGTTGTTGAGGGTTGCTAAATGGTTTCTGTTTTTTGGTTTCTTAATAAAGGTCTTTGTCCCGGTTGTTCGTGATGGGCATTGGTGGTGTGTTGCATTCTCGATGAACAGGGAGGAGGTTATTGTCATTGACTCAATTGAGACTAAAAACGCATGTGAAAGCAAGAGTCTTGAGGTTTACCAATTGAAAACTTTTGTGGTTGTATTTTTACCAAGTGAAAGCAAGAGACTAAAAATGAGATTTCAAATTAATTTTCAATGCACTAACTTTAGCTTCCACCACACAATTTGTTGCTGTTAGATTTCTGACTTTAGTTTTTCCATTTACATCCAGAAACAGCTGTGGAGTCCACATGATCATAGCAATAAAAGGGAATACTGGCAAATTCCTTAAAGTTATGCCTCCTGTAAGACAAATCCTCGTTTTGTGTACACAAGCTGTATGTTGTGTCTGATTTCGTGACTTTCTTATTGTATTCGAGGTTGCTGATATGTTGTTGTAGAGATCATGGGTCCTATGTGAAGATCTACTGTCGGAATTTAATCAATTACGCGAGAATGTCCTTGACCTCATCAAACCGCTAGTTTTGTAATCCTATCTTTGTCTACCACTTTGGCCATTTATTTATGAACTTACATATCTATTTTGCCTCTTGGCCACCATGTACATGTTCATATCGATGTTCATATTGGCCACCATCGGGAATAGTTGATTTTTTTTACTTCCCCAACTCCAAATGTAAGAAATTTATCTTTTGTTCCAAGTACATATATACATATTTAAAGCATAACTGAATTTGTGTCTCAATTATTTTAGAAATATAAAGCATAATTGAATAAGAGCAAACACAAATACTACTAGTAACACTTTCTCTTATTATATTATAAGTCATCATACACCTTAATTTACTACCTCTAGACTTAAGTTCCTACTTTCTTCATCATTAATAAAACAGCTAATAGTTCGTACCGGTACATTAGGTGACCCTAGTTCTAAGTAAACTCTTACATACTCAAAATGCAGGACTTACTTTAAACATTTTACTTTAACCTAAATAATTTAAACTCCAGACCAACTTCTTCCTTCCCAGACCAACTTCTTCTTTCCCAGCATTCTGTGGTGTTTCATCCTCATTTGTTGTAGTAGGCTTCATTAAAAGCTATGTTGTCCCTTCTTTTAAAGCCTCTAGGTTCTATGTGGGCCCATACAATAACTTCATCTACGAGTCCCTCCTCTGCTACAGTCTTTTAATCATTTAGATCTTCTCCGTTGTACCAAAGTCGAATGCGTTGCTCATCCACGTTGTGCTTAACTCCCCACTTCATGTACACGTCTTTGATGCAAGTTTCATTTCGCATCACAAACCTATTACTTTTGCGTCCTCCTGCCACAGTGCAAATGCAAATTATAGGGAATATTTCAAACACTTAACTTTGAGCCCCGCTGTGATCATGCACTTAAGTATGGTGGCGTCCATAGGGAAAGAAGCTAGAGCAAAAGAGTCGCCAACAAGTTTTAGGAACTTGTAAACCGTTCACAGGTGTAAAGGTTACACCCCATTCACGATCACAGAGATCGCTAACTCCATAATGGTTTGGAACCATGACTGAATATTCAGGGATGATGGTACGAATCCAACCTAAAAGAGATTGAACCCACCCTAAATCGGCCTCTACTTAATTCTTATGATATTCATGTGCGATTTCCTATCAACATACATACAACAAATTAGCCCTAAACCTATTTATTCTATGTTGGTTGATTATTAATACACAAATAAATCTATTATTGATGATCACTTAAATTAAAATCACATTAGCCTAAAATCAAATTATTAATTATCTTATTAGGCGTGATTCAAGTACAAATTCCCTTTAAACCTGCAGAAAAAGGCGTGATCAAGCAATAACAATAATATATCAAACAACATAACAATATCGACACAACAAGATCACCAAGAATCATCATCTTAATTCCTCTCTATAAGCTATAAATTTCTCTCTCTCTCTTTCTACATGTGCCTCTGAGTGCTAGTAGGTACGTTATGGGGGAGTTCAACAGGAAGGGGCTTCCCAGTCTACACATCATATACTATATTAGTTATCCACTACAACTTACTTTGCAACAAATATTGAATGTAGTAACTTAGTATATAGCAAATTAGTTTTATTTTTAGTTCTTATTTTTAGTAACTTAGTATATAGCAAATATTGAATGCACTAATTCATGACGATACATTCCTATCCATTATGATATTTGTTGTTACCTTATCATATGCTAGCACTAATTCATGACGATACATTCCTATCTCAAACGTGGTATCTTCTGGTGATATTAGCTGACCCCTCCAGAACAATCGTAAGTCCTTTGGCCACACACCCACTTTCTTGGCATACTCGTAGAAAAAACTATGAAAGCGGTTGTCTACGCTCATCTCTATCGGCTGCCCATAATCGTCAACATCCCCCCTTTTACCAAAAGGTCACACTTCGTGGTTAGGAGCTTCCCTTGAACGACCACACAATCATCCCACTTGTCAATTAGGTCCAGTGATTCATCGGATTCATTATCTGAGGAAGCCATTAAAGATATGTGGGTTTTTGGTTTGCTATAAACATTGGTTGAGTGGAGTTTGAGTGGAGTTCTATAATACAACTACTTTGGTTGTGTGTGTGTTTTACTGGTTGCTGTAATTTATAGGGAAGGAAAGGGAATACCTTGCTATGTTTCCAAATTGCAAGTTTTTTTGGTTGGTGGGAGTTAAATATGATTAATGCTTTACATAAATTAAATGCATAGGCTATATCCATTATGATATGGATTAATTGCCAAACTCTATGTTAGATATGTCTTTTCATGATATTTTATTGTTTTACAGTTTTAAGTGAAGGTAACTAAATCACAAACATTATTCTAATTTGACCGAATCCTAACGAGTAATATTTGTTTCTTCTAATTTCGTTTCAGCATATGCATATTTCGTGTACTACAAGCATAACAAATAAAAATTGCATCTACTATCATAAAAATTAAAACATGAACACATTGCTAGCACCATGAAAATACTTTAGACTAAACAACATAAAGAAACAAAACAACAGTGCTTGATATGAACTACAGAGTTGGAGGTACAACCAGCTACCACTCATCTTCACTCTCCGAGTTCTTGTACTCATCAGACTCACGACCAGAATCAGAGCTACCCCTTTCACGGTCTAATAACTTCATTCCATAATTTTCATAGGCATCTTGAGTATTTTCCGTATATGCGGGAGGGAATTCATTGGTTTGATACGGAAGATTATTCACAATACGACTACATAGAGTGGGTTATACCCCGTTCAAACTGCACATAAGGGTTACGAATTCTTTATATTCAACCGCATTTTCATTGAACAAATTGCAAAAGTCTTCATCAGCAAGCTGTATCCAAGTAACAACACCCTTTGGTTTCTTCTTCTCTGGTTCTTCTTCACTGGTTTCTTCATCAATTTCATTTCCTTCTTCCTTAAGCGTGTCTAAATGTAGAGTTGCAAACTCTCTTCTGAACGTAACCAATGCCCAAGAATAATTACCATGTTCCTCTTCAAGTTTGTCTAACACGGAGTTCCACTCTTCTAGCTTCATGAACATGTGCAAAAAAGCAGATAAGTGCCTATAAGTTCATAATATTTGCACCTAAAAACATAAGTACGCAAAGTGGAGAGTTGAAATGAGAAACTTATCGTGTAAAGATTGAGCATGTAATACAACATGCAATATGCCTCCTTCCTAAATTTTAACGTGTTTCTTATCTTAAAAGGTTTGAGGAATGGGTATTCGGGATGGAAATCAATGTCCGCCACTACGAGATACAGCGGCGAGTTGGTGGTTGTACATTTGCCTTCTATTCCTAGCTTTCAATGTAAGGTAGCCTAGGTCAGCTTGGAGAATATCAGGGCCGTCTTTGATTCTTTGTTCTAGTTCAGCTAGATCAACAATGGATTTTGGTTGGGAACAGGTGGGGATAGAAAATGATAGCTGCACTTTTGTAGTGGGTTTTCCATTTGTGGGATTTGAAGTGCTGGAAAATCGGAGGAAGGAAGAACACGGGAGTCGGGGGTCCATATATATAGTTGGTTTGCAACAAAAATTTGAATCGGGCCGCCATTTGTAAAAAAAGATACTTTCACTGGCGGGAACACGAAAAAATAAAAAAACTAAGCCAAATTTTAAAAACAAAATATATGGAGTATTCCACAGACTACGTCATTCATACAAACACCCATTGACATACTAAAACTTTAACTTGACATATTAATTCGGCAAAATAAAAAGCACTACATAAACTGCATCACATGACATTATACTTGCAACTAACAACAGTACAACATAAAACAAAGGACAACCTAATATAAAGACACATATAGAAGTCAAGGAGATGACGTTCAACAAAATACTAGTATAGTCCGGTTTATACAATGACATACTAAATATTTTGAATGACTTGAACATAACCCAAAATGAAGTCATTGAGGACAATACATACTACTACACTTGGCTGATATGATGACATACTAAATAATTTGTATGACTTGAACATAACCCAAAATGAAGTCATTCAGGAAATTTGAGACCACTAAAAAATATGTTTGGTATAACCATAAAAAAAAAATACTATGTTCATATTAACTACTCCGTACTACCTCCATTTCTTATTAACTACAAAGGAGTTTTTTTTTTTTTTTTTTTTTTTTTATTGCAATTAATAAGAAACAAAGATAGTAATAACTATTTAAGTTAAAATATGTTTGGTATAACCACAAAAAAACTACTCAGATTATTTTCTCAAATAAATAAATAAATAAATAAAGGTCAAGTTCCAAGTTCTTATCCATGACCAGTGGACCACCAAATTCAATGTGGCTCTAATAAGACACTAAGACAGTTAGCCTTGGTAACACGTTGTTCCTACTTCCAATATTGAGCTACACACTTCACTAAAATATCCTCACATGAAACAGACTTGTAAATTATCACCGGTCACACACTCACACAACACATTGTTATTCTATCAAAAAATTATCACTGAGTATGTGATTGTTTCATCCTTTCTTTAATGAATTTAATAATTGAACTTTTACGCTATACAAACTCTTGAATAAACCTGATTCATATTTGTTTATTTTAAACAACTAATATCAGGATTACAATTTTCTATGTCTCATAAATAATACTTACTTCCTTATTGTAACCAATAAGAAACGGGGGTAGTATATGATAAAACAAATTAATTGCATGCAAGATATATTTGTAATTCAAGGCAACAAATTTTATTTTATTTTAAAAAAAAATAAATTTAAATACGGTAAGATAAGGGGTGGGCACCCACCCTATCACAAAAATGAGGGACTGGATGAGGAATTGAATCCCCAATCACTTGAGGGGAGATGGAGGGACTAACCATGTATCTATCAATCTCCTCATTCCTCAAGCAACAAAGTAAAATACAAGCATGAAATTAAGAAAAAAGAAGGCACCTTTTTTTCAACAAAATCAACCCAAAAACGAGACACGGCCTTCTGATAAGGATCATACGGCAACAAAGGGTTGTTCTTATTCCAAACCTCATCAATGTACTCAACAATAATAAGAGATTCACTAACGGGTTTGTTGTTATGAACGAGAACCGGAATTTTCTTATGAATCGGGTTCATTTTAAGTAGCAATTCACTCTTGTTTCTTAAATCTTCATCTTTATATTCATACTAGATAAAACCCGTGCGATGCACGTTTTGTTTGTATTTTTTAAAACAAATATTTTTTGTATTATGTGATTAAATTTGTTATTTTATTTGTTGTATATAGTATATTATTTAATATTTTTATTTTAAAAGAAATTATGAATTATCTCTCATTGGCTATATATGTAGATAAAATTCCTAATTTCAAAAGATAATATATTATATTTAATTAATTTAATGTTTAAAATCTCATTCGTTAATTTTTCTTATGTGGCATTTGAATTATTTAATTTTAAAAGAATTTACAAATCTCTTATTTGATTGGCTAACACCAAAATTTATTATCCTACATGGTGCGTTAAGAAAATTTTATCCTACGTGGCTCTCTAAGAACTGAAAAAAAAGAAAAAAAAAAAAAAAAAAAAAAAAAAAAAAAAAAAAAAAAAAAACTCCCCTTTATATTTATTTATATATATATATATATATATATATATATATATATATATATATATATTAGATTTCAGTCATTTTTCAGCTAATGCTACCCTTACTCGCTACCCTTATGGGCTTGGCCAATAATCCAATAATACCAATTCATTTGCCATTTTTTTTAAGAGAATTAAATAATTTAGAGGTGTTTTTTTTTTCAAAAAATTTTATGTTGTAGTAAAAGTTATGGGAAGGAAAGGGTGTATATATATAGGGGTTATGGAATGGGTAAGTGGAGAAAAGTGTGGAAATTATTGGTCATCGATAGTTCTCGTGGTTTAGGATTTTCTGTTGGTGTGTGGTCATGGGTGACGACATAGTAGGTTGTTTTTTGTAAGAATGTAAAATCCATGTGACAGTTCTCATTTCAGTCATTTTTCCCTTTATATTCCCTCTGTTTTATAATTACTGATACGGTTTTTATTTTCGTCCGTCCCACAATAATTGACACGTTTCTAAATATAGCACAAACCATAAATTTATAATTATTTTCTTCTTCTCTTCCATAGCCCATTGATTTTTGAGAAACAATTTCAACCATATAAAGAAAATCAACAAGAATCTTGTTACAAACAAATGTATTAAATGGTTTCACTCTAAGTTTTCTTAAACTATGTGTCCATCTCAACGTCTCAGATATTTTGGGATGGAAGGAGTACAACTCAATTAAATTGACTTCGGATTCATTCAGTATCGCTGTAGTTTTCTGTTTTTTGTTTTCCAAAATCATATGATATATATGTCATATAATCAATGAAAATCTAGGGGATACATAGAGGTACAGCGGTACCCGATTCCACCAAAAATAAATAAAAGGATGACAAAGAGATTGCTTCTTGTATCGTATAACAAGTTCGTTAAAAGTTTGGAAGTTGTTTCTTTAATTATTCTTGCATCGGTCTCAATCAACTTAGGTTTATTCTCTTCACCTTATTTTTATTACTCCCTCCATTTCCTAATAATTACAGTAATAGGTATTGCACAATGTTTTAGGGGATTTATTCTATATCTAGTACACCTTATTTTTTCTTATTTCCAATCAAATCTAAAAAATAAGTTCAGATTAATTAAATCGAAAAAAATAGGTTTCATTCATACTTTGTCGGTTTTTTTTATCGTAAAATCCTTTTTTCATAGAGGAAAAATTATGAAAATTACATAATATTAAAATACATCCTATTACGAATATCGTCCATTTTATATACTTTTTTCTTATAGACTAGTGTAAATATAAGGTTAGAGTTTGGTCAAATCAAACAATCAATTCACACCAGATAAATTAAGATTTCATCAGCTCATATCAGATAATAAAAAATAAGGCAAACTAAACATAACCTTATATGGTGGGGAACTGGGGATCTAAGAGGAAATATTAAACTCCCTCCACGTTTTTTTTAAATGTGTCACTACTTGAGATTTGCACTATTCATATGTTGTCATTGACTTAATTGTTTTACTACTATATAATTTGTAAACATGATCTATAACATATTCTTGGATTTCTTACAATGTCTACTTTCATAATACAATGTATGTTTTATTTAAGTTTTACTAATATCTAATTAAAGTTATTTATGGTCAAAGTCGTGCCTCGACAAGTGTGAAAACTCGATCAAGTAATGCTTACAAAATCAGAGGGAATAATATAATGTATATTTATCGGGATATATTTCCTATTTAATTCTTATTTTGGAGAGAAATGATAAAAAAAAAATAGTGTAAGAAAGGTTAGTGAGAAAATACAATAATAAAATATTTGTGCAAGTAGGGTTAGTGGGGAAAAGAAATAGTATAATAATAGTGCGCTGAGGGTTATCAAATTAGGAAGGTTTGTAATTAATACAAAACGGATAAAAAAAGAAAAGTTTTGCAATTTTTGCGAAATAGAGAAGTATAGAGTAGTTTTTTTTTTTACTATATTATTCTTTTTATTATTAAGCCAGACCAGATTGTATCACCAAATTTTAGATTAGATCACCCTAGACCATATTTTCTTATTTTAATTTGATTATTTTAATATATATGTTACTTTGTATTTGTTCATATTTGATATAATTATGAAAATTAGATATTTGAAAATTACACTTTGGGATTAATAATCTAACAATATCATATTAGGTATGAATAAGTGGCAAAGGACACAATAAGTAGTTTATTTATTACAGAGGACATAATAAGTAATCTAATATAATTTTTTATGTTAATTTGTTCAATTAATTATATGACCTATGGTTGCTTATAAATCAAGATTTTGTAATTTTGAATTATTAAGAATTGAACGTGGAAATAAATAGTTACCTCTAACTCCAATTCGAATCAATTGTTAATTGTTTTCTGATTGAGATGGTTAGTATTAGTTGATTATAAAGAGATTGAGATAAAGTATTATCGCCTTGCCTATTAGAAATGGTGGAGCCAATATAAAAAGAAATAAATAAATTAAATTAAATTTTGTATAAAAGAAAAGAAAAAGAAATGACATGAATAACCATTGATGATGAACTCGTACTAAGTTTATTGTAAATTCATAAATTATAAGATATAAAAAAGCACCATTTTAACCTTCACTGCTTTGCGTCGAGAGCCTAGGACCTAAAATGAAATAATAAAAATAAGAAAATACATAGTAGAAGAAATAAAGTGATGAGTTAGAAAAATTTCAAGCAAATGGATGAAAGTTGGGATTGAAATTAAGGTTACTTATAGTAATAATGAAAGGATATGGTATTGCCCAGGCCAGTCGTGGCGCAAGAGTGTGTATTGGACGCAGAAGGCATGCGATAATCACCAAGCTGTAATGGCTTGCAAACTTCCAATAATTACGACACTTACCGCAACTCCGTGCGTAAGGTGCACAGTTGTGCACAGATGTATCGTTGTGCCCGATCTCCATACTTGGCAGCATCAGTTTTTTCAATCTTTAAGAGTAAGGATTTTCTTGAAGGCTGGGATCTGATAGCAATTGGGCTTTCGGGGATTTTTTGAGTTGGACTAATTAGGCTTTAGAAGGTTAGATGATGAGATGTGATAATTTCTTATTCCTACACCCTAGTGTAGGTAAAGATACCTACACCCCTACCTACCTCCCTCCCAAACAAAGGTTTTTGTATTTTTTGTTAAAAAAGAAAATAAAAAAAATAGATATCACCATTGATATCTTCTAAAAGCTTCATTTTATAGTTTCTCTCTGAAAAACATTCATCCTTCATTTTTGCTTCCAAATTTTTTTATCATCTCCATTTTCTCTTTCCAAAAACCTTCATCTTCAATTTTTAAGAAATTTTTACTTTTACTACCTCCAAATAACCACTTTTGGTTTTTACCACCTTCATAAAAAAAAGTTTTATTTTACCTCCACATAAAAAAATTAAAGTTGGCTTGTACCACCAATCACCCCCAACTAACGGATTCTGTCCATAAATCCGTTAATGGGGCCACCATTTACACGTGTCACCATTTTATTGGGTGTAAAAAAGAAAAATAAAAAAAAATTTAATAAAATCAAAACCATCCAACCCAGCCACCGTCGTCGGCATTCCTTCCGTAACCCTTTCCCTTCCGACCCCTCCCATCGAATTCCAACCCCAGCTCGCCCTAGCCCTAACACCGGATTTCGACCCCTTTTCCACCTACCGAATTCCGAACATCCTAAAACCCTAGCCACCGCCAAATTTTGACCTCCTCCCTAGCCACCACCTAATTCCGACCCATTCCCTAGCCACCACCAAATTCCGACCCCTCCATAGCCCCACACGAAATTCCGACCAACCGAGGTGGGGTTGATTTTGTTCCCCACTGATTGGCATGAAAGATCGGGGGAGATGAAGAGGAAATGTCAAAAAGGTGGGCCCTACTAACGGATTCATGGATGGAATCCGTTAGTTGGTGGTAAAATCCAATTTTTGGAAATTTTGTTGGTGGTAAAATACAACTTTCTTTTATGGAGGTGGTAAAAGCCATTAAGTGGTAAAAGTCAAAATTTTATAATTTTTATTTACTCTCCAAAAGCCTTCATATTTTCCATCATAGAAGTTTCATCATCATCTATTTATGTCACTCATTACCGGAGCTTCATTGTTGACGCAAATCCGTTGATGAGGTACTAATTTCTTTCTATTATTTTTTCATTCCCATTACTTGATATACTTGTTAAATAATGATTAGATTAACCTAATTTTTTCCCTAATTGATTGTCAAATCATAGAAGGAAGATCTAAAAAAGCTGGTAAGTGTTATTGGATTAATTTTTTTTTTTATAAACTTTATTGTGGATGAATATAATTATAGCTTAATTATGTATAGTATACTATATTTTGTGTTAAGTTAATTTATGGTGTGATATTTTATTATAAAATTGTTAGATATAAAAATATTGAAAATTGTGTAAAATTGTCCTAATTTTCTAGACAGTTTGATCTATTTTGTTGGATTATTGAAATGTAAATTTAGTTTACCGTGAAAAATAATTTTTGATAAATGTTAATTTCATTATGATAGATATACATTAGCGTATTAGTAAATTGTCATTCGCATATCCATAGACGAGCATTAAATTTTCAGATAAATGTTCATATTATTGTAATCTTCATCACATATTTTCTCTAGAACT